GGAATCACTTATGCTAATCTTTTGAAAGTCTTGTGTATTCCACCAGATTTACCCCAAGCTTCAAGTGTTGTGGATAGATATAAGGCAAAGCCAGGAAATGAGCATTGGTGGGCCATCAAATGGATGCTAAGATATTTAACCCCCGTTTGGCCCCCATTTTATAGAAAAATTAATGGGTGGAATAGTGTTTTTTTTTTTTTTAAATGAGTGGTTGAAAAAGAATAAAAAAGTTTTTAGTTTACATGTAATATTATTTTATAGAAAATTATGTGATTGAAAATAAGAGAGAGAGAAATGAAATGAAATGTAATGGAATGAAAATTAATGAGGGCCAAACGGGGGCTTAAAGGGATCATCAAACACTGGTTTGGTTTAAGGGATGAAAAATAAAAATGGCAGAATAGTAGCTGGTTTTGTGGATTCTGTTTTTGTCGGGGACCTTGACAATAGAAGTTCTAGCAGGTCACTTATTTCAAGTTTTGAGATGCACCATAACCTGCTTGGAATTCAGCTGGATGGTGCACTGTGAAAGTTAAAATACAATCCACTAATCAAAGAATCAGGTCTTCCACGAAAGAAGAAAGCATGTGGATGTGCATTTGCACTTTGTCCACAGAGGGTGTGAAAGTTGAGAAGATTTCAACCGATCATCATCCTGCACACATGACAACAAAAGCATTGCCAACCTCTATGTTGGTAAATATGTCTCAAGAACACAAAGTAAATCAACAAAAAATTAAGGAACACGGAAACTTTTCGCCCTAAGGACCATATGTTCAGCCGAACAGCCTACACCACATTGAGCATCCACAAAAGTGGTTATCGCTCTAAATCCACTAGAAATCACCAAAGATAACATCACTAGAATTCACACCGAAAGATTCTACTGATTTTCCCTCAGACCACTTGTTTTCTCTCCTATATTTCTCTCAAATCAATTATACCGAGAAATCAGTGGTTACTGCTCACTAGAAAAAGACTAGTAACCATTCCAAGGAAGATCTTATGAAGAAAATCTAAGAGAATGATTTATTACGGACTAAAATCCAGAAGCTTTTCGGGGAGAAAAATGAGAGCAAAGAGAAAACCCTAGAATGATGTGAACAGCCAAAGCAGGCGACGTATCCAGGATATAACCATTCAACAATTAATTTTTATCCAAGGGCCACCAATCAACCACATGACATCATCTCGGCTGTTTGTTGTATCTGAATTTAAAGTCACATTTGTAAAAATCATATGAGTGAGGCAACTGGGTTTTGGGCTTCAATTTGTATTTAAGCTGCCATCAGTTTTAAGTGGAACCATCATTGGGCAAAAACAAAATTCCAGCTAAGTGTTAAGCAGATTTAACACTCTTAAGTCCAAGCATTGCTTGGAGTTAGCTAATGTTTCGCCTTGTCGAGACACTGTTGGGGCAAATTTGGGAAAGGGTTAGATTAGACTATACACTATACACACTAGTCAAGTTGGAGATTGCTGACAACATGGATAATTAATTGTGAAGACGTGCTAAGGAGTTGGATTGAAGTAGTGTAAATTGAAGACTGTTGCGTCAAGACTTGGCCAAAATGAAATTTCGTTGATCAAGTGTTGACTCGGTTATAGGAATCATAACAGGGATAGCAGTTAATTCTTTAAAATTCAGAATAAGGAGAGTCCATTTCCCGAATAACGTTTTTGTGAGGTTTCTTGTACATGAAACAAACAATGAGGATTTCTGTGTGACTGAGGGTAGAGGGTGCAATTCTTGGAACTGTTTGGTAACAAGGAAACAATCTGGTGCCTTCCTCCTGTGGATGTAGGCGAAAACTCTGAACCATCATGTATCACAATTTTTTGTTTTCTTTTTCTTTGTTAAATCCATTTTGCTATTAATGTAGATTGAACTATGCTTGCTCTGAGTTCTTTACAAAAAAGCAGTCTATTTAGGCAAGAAAATAGGGAAATTTTTTATAATGCTTTTTTAACGTTTATGAATACTCTCTGATCGTATTGTAACAAACCCCGAGACCAAGACCCAAGCTGATGGGCTTCAAGCTAGTCTTGGAAGCCTCACATGGTAATGTCAATCGCATGGATTCAAGAAATACATAATTTTTACAGTCTTTTTGTTTTTCCAGGTTTATTCAACAAGGTAAGCTCATTTTTGATAAAGTAGATTAGATAGTAACAAACATTGTTGAAGGAAAGAGAAATTAAAATCTTGTCAATTATATTGTCTAGTATGGTTTAATAATAACTAACATGTACTTAGTGTTTTAGTTTGTGTGGATAAAGTCTTTTGAATGTTTGTCTAGTTTATGTAGCTACCAAGACCTTGTATTAGTATTGTTTTATGGTCTTAAATGATTGAGATCTCTGCTGTTGTACTACCTTCTTTCATAACTTTATACGTTATCTTCGAGCAGGCCTGTTGTTAGAGATTTGGTTGATGACATCATACTTGTCTCGGATAAAGAGATAATTGACGCAACGAAACTCTGTTACGAAATTTTGAAGGTTGCAGTCGAGCCGAGTGGGGCCATAGGACTGGCAGCTGTTTTGTCCGACTGTTTCAAGAAAAACCCTGCTTGGAAGAATTGCAACAATGTTGGCATTATAATTTCAGGAGGCAATGTTGATTTAGGAGTGCTCTGGGATGCATTGAATAAGTGACTATCATTTGTGCAGTCAAACTTTAAGAGAAACATTTAGTAAATTCAGCTCATATTATTCTCTGCTGCAAGCTGTGCAATTCCTGTGCTTCCATTTTCTTGTAGAAATATAACAATTTTCAGTTCTATACAACAAAAAGAAACTAAATTTTATTCTCTATTGGAGTTCTTGCTTCTTGTGTATCAGATTGACCAGTTAACACATTGCTCAGAGAATCGTAAATTATTGCCATCTCGAGGGAATCTCCAGTTTGCAGGTGCTAAACTTTTTGCTCTTTATAATAAGAAAATTAAAATCTCGTTCATTTTACTGTCTAGTTGTATAGCCTTTCTAACAAGTCAAAATTAAGGCAGATAACTGCAGCAAAAACCGAAAATAGAAATATCAACAGGATGTATGAGAACAGCCATGAATAAGGCCTTAATTCACTTTCTAAAGATCCATCACAACTCAGGCTCTGAATATAGCAAGCACCAAGGTTTACCACCAGAAACCCTACATTTCATACACCATAAGAGATTACAAGAAGACATTTCAATGGACATCAGAGAAGATCAAAAAGAAGACGAAAAAGGTTTAAACCTAAAACAAGTATTGCTACTATTTGCAGGTGTTAGCTCTATTTCTGTTATGAAGAAAGTGCAAGCTCGGCCCATGCCAGAGAAGCAGATGCTGTGAGATCGGCAGGTACAGAAGTGTCAATACCACTTTCCAACATGGAGCACAAGTCCTGCATGGAGGTCCTGGTGCTTGACTCTGGACGGGTACAAAGATTTACCACTTCACATATCACCCTCAGGTCCTCGTATCTGAAATGTTTCAACACAGGATCCACTACATATGACATGACATCAGGTATTTCTAGAAATTCTTTAGCCTGCAGCAAATAAGTAGAGACTTACAGTTAGAAAAGGTAAGTTCAGTTTTTCTTCTTAAGCTTAGCCAAACATTTTGGCAACTTTCTGCGAATACAGATCATGAGGGAAGAGAGTCCGGTCGAGAAAATCATGAAAAGGAAGAAAATTCTTAATTCATACCCAATCCACTAAGCACCCTTTATCTTTGCAGTATGGAGGTCTCCCGCTGATTATTTCCAGTAAAATCACCCCCAATGCATAGATATTGCCCTGGATATTAAGATGACGCCCTTCCAAAGAATTTGGAAGAACACAGACAGCACCTTCACTACTGATGGCACCCGAGCTCTTCTCCAATCGTGACAGAATAGTCTTCCAGCTCTCAAAATCAACCAGCTGCAGGAGAAATTAGGAATAATATAATAAGAATCCGCATTGATGGAGGTACAGTATTACCACGAAAAGAAAAAAAAAAAACACTTTAGGGTAGATTATCATTCATACATGCATAAATTACATACAAAATACATAAAATACATCGCATCATAAAAACCATATACACAGCACTAGAATAGAACTTTGGTTCCGAATAGATATATTGACAAGTGATAAGGCCTCACCTTGGGAGAAAAATCATCAGTAAGATATACAGCACTAGAATTCAATTCAGATACTGTAAATGGTGGATCAAGTTCCTCATGCAGGTACTTCAGTCCCTTTGCGATGCCTAAAATAATTTTCATACGCCGTGTCCAAGATAATTGACATCCTTCTCCATCTATAATCAATCAGAAGGCTTCAGTTTTCAGCTCATGGAAGCTGCTTGGATTGCATCACAAAGTTTTAAAACAAACAGAAAAGAGAGAAGAACTAAGGAAAGGAGATTCTTACAGTGAAGGTGCTCATAAAGTGTTCCATTTGATGCATATTCGAACACCAGCATCCTAGTAAATGGACTGCTTTCTGAGCAATACCCTAACAATTTTCCCGTGTTTTCATGATTTAGTCTTGTCAAATCTGCCACCTGAACCATGCAATAACATACATTACTTAATCACACATTCCATTAAGATACAGAAGCAGCAATAACCAATTGTTCAATGACGTGAGACCAGTTACCTCTTTCTGGAAGTAAAGCTCGAGGTAGCCCGACCAATGATCTTCTTTGATGCAAAGGGATATAACAGCAATTTCGGGCCCACCTTTCATGGTGCCTTTGTATACCAGGCTATCTGGAGAGGATCCAATGATGTTACTGAAATCTTCACAGGCTACCTCAAGTTCTTGTCTGCTGTATCTTGCTACATCCTTCAATACTTCAGAATCTGCTTATAGGTTTCACTTAATTTAAGCACAATAGAGCATTGAAACTTCATGTGTAAATTGATATAAATGTTCCAAGAATAGCATTTAGGTGATCGAGTCTAACCTATGCAAATCGTTGTGTAGTCCCTCTCACTTGCAGATTTCTTCCAAGGGATAATGATAGAAGATTCGCTCTTGCACTTCTGAACTGCAGTGAGCATAGCAATGACAAAGAGAGAACCCACCATAACTCCTGTCACTACTTCAAGAGCCAAAAGCCATGCAGGCCTCGGCGAATTAACTTGATGTTTGGATCTGTCTTCTACAGGCCGGTGCTTGGTGTTAACTACTGGATGGTTTTTAGCAGGTGAAGCACCACCTACCATAAAAAAATTTCGGTATTAGCCACATGAAATAATTCATTTATGATGATTCCCAATTTCTTCGTAATTGAAGTTTCATAAATTTATTTGATTAAGTCAATGAACAAATCCTTTCAAAAAAAAAAAAAAGTGCCAGACGAGCCACCTCAGAGAAACGTAAGCAGATACTAGTACAATTGGTTCAGTCTATAGTCACTGTTGTTAATTTCTTTTTACAATTGATGAAAACGTAAAATATTATTCGCGATTTTTCTCCTCCTCTATAACACAGACACTCTAACTAGGGTAACGTGTCCGTATCCGACACATGTCGATACCGACACTCTTTGAATACTCTACAATAATCATTTTTCTTTCTTACTATAACTATTATAAATTTTACTCAAAATTATTAGTAAATAACAAATAAGTATTCATATTTAAAAGATTTCAACAAGAAAAATCAATAATAAGTGTAAAAATAAATTTATAATATATAAATGAAGAATTTTAAAGAATTTAATTAACGTGTCGTGTCGGTGTTTTTTTGAAAAATCACGAGTCGAAGTATTCGACACGTATCGTGTCGGACACACGTGTCCGTATCGGTGCATCATAGTTCTCCTCACAAGGACAGTAGTCTTATTCGAAAGTCAAGTGTTTATTCATCACCTACCACATTGTGCTGTAGAACGCTGTTTGATTTCTTTATCCTGGAGGCAATTTCCTTGAAAACTTGTTCTATACAGCAAAGTAAACATTAACCCACAAAGGAAAAGGTGAAAGCAAAAAGAAAAGAAGTGAAATCAAAGACATATAATACCTAGGAAGAAACCCCAAGCACTCAGGAATGCTTCCAACAAAAAAGTTATATGAGAAATCAGCATCTTTTAATTGAGATGATAGACAGAAACCCATTGGGCGGCTACTTGAAGCATACCTAGTAGAATTGTATGAAGAATCGATATTACAAAATACGCTTCTGAGATTGAAATGCAAGCTTCCATTGGAAATTGAATATTGAATGAACTTCAGCAATCAAATAGGATTTCTACCATGATACAAGTTCACATACAGAAGAAACTCGTACAAGTGTAAAGGTACTCAAATGTTGGGTTTAAACATTCTGCAACAGAAATACAGATATGTCTAGGCTCCATCTGCATCAGTCTCTATAAATGCTGAGCCATTGCACAATTGGGACAAAGGTTCAAATGGTGCAATGCATTGTAAAAAGAGACTGATGCAGATGGAGTCTTACACAATTGGGTCAGTCTGTAGACCATTGATTATTATACAACGCATTGCACCATTTGAACACTTGGAAAAACGTATTAGAGTTTCCATATAAATAAAAGCAATCACAAACGAATGTATCTTCTTACGTTCCACGAGTGTTGGATGGATATGCTGAGCCATTGCTAGCAGGGATGGTCCCCAGAAGCTTATTCCTATCAAGTCGAAGTTCTTCAAGGTATTTCAAGTTTCCAAGCTCAGAAGGCAACTTTCCAGTCAACCCGTTGAATTGAAGATTTCTACAAAAGAACAAAAGCCACATCAATGAGAATAAGCTAGAAATGAAAAGGAAAAGTCTACTTAGAATCTAAACATCTAACATTCAAGCACCACTAACATTTTCATAACACCACTTAAATTTCCAATCTGGGGAGGAATTGCTCCTGTAAGCTGGTTTGAAGACAAATCCAAGACCTTGAGGTCTTTCAACATGCCAATTTCCTTAGGTATTGTACCAATTAGCAAATTCCCACGCAAAATTCTGTTAATCAACAGCAGACATAAAGTTTAAATCAGTCACATTCCAGTTCTAAAAGAAGTCTAATAAATCAGCATTAAAAAGCATCCAAAACTTACAATTCTTGCAAAGTTGATAGTAGATACAATTCCGGTGCAATGAAACCCCTTAAAGATGCCCCCGATAAGTTACTGCAACATGGAGCAGCATCACAAATGAGAATTCGAGTTTGGCACTACAAGTATACTAATACCACTTCCAAACTGTAATCAAGAATGTGGCAATGTAATGAATGCATACACATAAGTGTAATGGTTCGACCAAACTTTTCGAACGAACTTAGGCAGACAGAAATATCTTACAGCTTTATGACATAATCTCTAGCCATAGAACAAGAAATGCCAGTCCAGTCACAAGGATCTGAGTCCAGAGGGTTCCAATTTGACAAAACCAGTAATGGGTCCTCAATTATAGCCCTCTTGAAGGATGTTAAAGCCTCAACTGAACAAAACCCACAAATTCCTCAGTCAGAAAAAATGAACTAAACCGTAAAATCTACAATTATTTTATGCTATAAATAACTATTATATTTATCAACAATTATTATCTACTATTTTTCCAGAATTAAATCAAATAACAACCCACATTAATGTAAGAAGTAGAAAATATTCACAAATTATTGACAAGTGACTGAATCAAGAATTAAGATCTGTGAAAAATCAAATAAAACTGAATAAACCTTACCTTCATTTACTGGAAATGCATCACTGAGTGCAAGAAAGAGTTTTAAACAGAGCAAAAGAACTTGAAATGAAGCAAAAACTCCCATTTTTCTTCTACTCATCATACACGCAAAGCTACACTCTCATGAGCTTAAAGAACCCATCAAATAGAACTTTTCAAGAAACTCGATAGGAATCAAAATATAAAAAGACCCACAACATTAAATGCGAAAAAAATCCAAACAGTTAAAGAAAGAGCACAGTGTGGGTGTCATAATTCTTTATCAAAGAACAAAAAAAGAATTAAAGTAGAAAAGAAGATTCTTGATATTGAAAAGGAAAAATTAAGAAAACACGAAAAATAGAAAGCTCAAGGGTGAATATATGGTTCAATAAAAATAACAACCCATGCAAGGCAAATCCACTGGAACATCAAAGAGTGAAGTTCAAAAGAAGCCCAAAAATGGGGTAAACTTGGACTCAAAGATAGGTTTGGTGTCAGAAACAGAAAGAGATGGACAGTGTAAGTAAAGGAAAAAGATCAAAAAACGAAAAATTTATTCTGAAATTCTTGCAGAGAGAGGGTTAGAGAGAGCGTGTGGAATGCTTTTGTTTGTTTGCGTTGGAGGAAGAGTAAACGAAAAGAAAATGGGTTAAAAATGGCGGTTTTTTATTTTGTTAAGTGGATTTAGTGGCGTAATTAACAGATTTACTTAAGTTAATTATATCAGTCGAGAAGATAAAGCATTTATTTCGTGATATGTTCAGTTTTATATTCTCATTTTTCCTCAGTGGTTTCAATGACTAGGTAGGTTTGTGCATTTAAGCACCAATTGGACCATTTGGCCTTTGTAGATGGAGTCATTACTATCTTTGTTACTTCGTACTCGTACTATGGAAATATGGAAAAATAATATCGTTATTATTAAGAATTAAGAACATTTTTGAAGAGCAACTATCACCATTGGCAACTAATAGAGATGTCAACGAGCGTGACAGGGTCGTGCCAAGCTGGCTCTCCCTATCCCTTGTGTTGTCGGGAGTTTTCAAAACATGGGAACGAAGGAGAGGAGCAATGAATAAAATTCTCATTTCTCTTCTTGTTTACTTTTTTTTTTAATTTTTAAATTCACAAAAAATAAACAAGAGTTCTAGCAAACTCGAAAAAAAAAATGAGGTTGTGGAGAATATCATTGTATCGATCATACTAGAAATATTAGAATTAGTCCATTGCAATTTGAATTATAATTATAGCTCACTATTTAGGTTTGCCTTTTGTTATAAGTAGCACTTGACTTCCTTTTCTCCTCCTTGAAACTATGAACTCCTTTCTTGAGCTCGATAAATAGAGATAGGTGTCCATCTTTGAGCAGGGGAAAAAAAAAAGTTGGGTTCATTTGTTGCTTATTTTGAGCAAGTGAATTTTGATATTTTTATTTGCATTTTTTACCTCCCTATTTTGATTTCTCTCTTCATATCAAAGAATTTAGAGCTTTTGCAAAAGTCAGAATTTCACGATAAAGAGAAATTTAATTGAGTAAGGGATATCTAAAGCTTAAAAGCAACATGAACATGGTTACATATACACTAGTCTTAGCTCCTGTTTGGTAACAATTTTTCACCCAAAAAAATTAATTTTTTGATCGTTATTTCACTATTCTAGTAGTTATTTTTGACTTCTTCACTCACAGGTGGGATCCACTTTTCTCTCTAACGGTCAAAAAAATGACTTCACTACTGAACATGTCCTTAATTCAATTGTTTTTTCAATTATCGGCAACTTATTTTCACCAAAATCTCTCTATTTTCGTATCAACTTCTTCGTAGATTTTTTGGCACTTGGCTCACAATTTCACCGTTCTCGGTTTCAATAGTCTTTTTGAATGCAAAACTGCTTGATTTTTTATTTTTTTTTTGTCGTCCACTTATCGTTGTTATTCGAACGATATGATGATTATGGAGTAAAATGGGAAACTATTGAAAAGAAAGTTCCACTCTTTAAAGTTCAAACAGCTGTTAAACAACATACTTAACTATAATTATTATTAATTATAGTTGATTGGATTCTTATTTTTGTCACAGTTTTGCTTTTGGGTTTGGCAAGCATTAATTAGAACGCATTAGTGACAATTTACTAATTATCTAATATTGAATTATTGTCGAGTCCTCAACTTGGACCGATCGATTTAGTCCAATTTTTGTATAATTCAAACGGTTAAAATTGAGTTATTTTGATACGAATCTAACCCCGATTTCAACCAAGTTCGAGGAAAATAGAAATTTGAATCAAATTTCCGTTTTAATTTTAAATAATATTAAATATTTTAACAATAATCGATGAATAGATGTTTCAAGATGGATCAAACAAAGGAGTAAAAAGTCTTTATAGTTTTTTCTTCTTTTTTTTTTTTCTTTTTCTTTTTTTGTATTTTAACAACCAAATCCTAATAATTTATTGTGGTCCATAAAGAAGACAAGAAGATTGTTTAAGCATGAAGGGTCCTCATGATAGTGCTTCCAAGCAAAAAATTTTTTTTTTTTTTTTTTTTTTTTTTTTTTTGGATACCCAGGTCTTCCAGCTTCGCCGGACTATTCCTGGACCTCAAGCCTCCGGCCCCTCATTAGTTTGAGGAAGTTAACCACGGGATGTGCCCTTATTGGTTCTCAAGTTCCTGCATGACTTACACTCCTTCCCCTAAGAGAGCTCTCTTCACTATCTTTCAGTACCTTGCTTTCGAGATAAATCCCCCTTCCAAGATGTTGTCTTCCAGGAATCGAACTCTCCACGCTAGGTTTGTGAGCCCACCAATGCAATTGTTCCACCAACCCGGATGTGCCCCGGGAGGCAACACGAACATCTACTCATGTGCTCTTTTTGGTTTCTCTTCCTTATGGCCCTTTGAATTTGTCTATTTCCTTCAATTAATTTATTTATGAAGGTTCTTACAAAAATTTTAATTTCAATTATTGTTTTATAAAACAATTAATATTAGATAAAATTATTATTAGAGGATAAAATTGTAAAGTTACAAAAACAACTGTGGGAAATTTTTTTTATGTAAATGAATCTCAATTTCTAACTCTTTTAGCATATTTGAGAGAATGGCAATGCCATGAGGAATTTTAAGATTTGACTTAGAGGGGTGAATTTACGTTGTGCCACATCTTTCATAAACATAGAGGCTGGGCCACCCCTAATTGGTCTTGATCAGATTTCTATGCATCTTGCTTAAGGTGTAAGATTAAATAATTAAATTATAATTATATAATTTTATGTTTGACCATCTTGGATTACTTTAGTAATTTTTAAAGTTAAATTAGCAAAAATAAATTATTTTCCAATGAAGCATGTATAAAGTAGTTAATGGCCTTTAAAATATGTGTGAAGTAAAAAAGGTGAAGCTTGTTTATATGGAAAATCTTGCTAATAATAACAATAAATAATACTTAAAATATAAATATGCTTTAGTTTTTGAGTAAGTCTACTCTAGACATCAGCTCAAATCCATTCTTCATTATACGTGAGACCAAGCAATTCGTTTTTCCAGATATTTAATTTCATCCCTAACCTTTTTCTTGCGTTACGAACTTTTCGTAACATAAGCTCTATGTGTCTCATTTTATCGAATAGTCAATGTGTACTTGAGATGATCTTGTTGACTGTGTGGTGGAGGGTTGGCTTGGGGCACCAACACTTAGGTGAGGGGTACCTTCGGACACTACAAGGACGGTTCACGTCAAGCGTACTAAAAATAGTTGTAAATATCGATACAGTGGATAAATATTCTATTTAAAAGTTAAGAAATGTGTCCATCATACCAAAAATTATAAGTTAGAGACCTCCTATATTACATAAGTTGGGGACCTTTGCCATAACTAATTACCCAATGAACGTATCAGCAATTTGCTTATAATTGCTAATGGATAATATTGGAAGAAAAACGACTTGCGTACAAAAAGGCTCACTCCAAAGACGGATTAGTCTTGCGAGTTCCACGAGTATCGTCACGCGTTGGACCAATAAAAAAAGTGAATTCGTCAAAGAGTTTTCTATCAAGAGCAGTGAAAGGACGCTTAGTCAATTGGCAATCTCCAACCTTAATTACATCATAAAATCCGTCAGTGAGTTTTTTTTTATCATGGATTCATATTCCCACATGTTTTTCGATCACAACTACCATCGTTTGTGTCACAAGAGGTCACAACCACTTTGTGCATGCACGATATAGAAGTGTTTTGAAATTCACAATTTCTACGTTTTAATAAAGTGCCATGCTACTCAACGAAACATTTAAAACAAAAAATCATCAAATCGACTAATATTGATAACCTGCAAAAATTAAGAGAATCTTTTTGAAGATATAAGAATAAATTAAGGGTCAATGCTCATCATTCTCAATGCCAACGTGCTTCTTTTTTAAAATCATTTTTCTTTGAACAAATAAAAATACTAAAGGGGATAAGATTGAATACTAAAAAAACCACAAACATACAACTACTTTCTAAATAATGCAGGCCTGTCTTGCTCATGACATAAAAAATAAAATAAAATAATCTTAAAATAGCACTGGCTAAGGTTTCATGAATGCTTATCATCTAACATCAATAAGCAGTTCATCAGAAAGAGAGACATTTACTATATGGATGAAATCCCTTGTATTCCATGGAAATGGATGCACAGTCCGTAATTCTAGAGGAAACTTTTTTTTCGAGTCGATAATTACCAAAGACAATGTAACAATAATCATGGATTCCCCTGGCCGAGTTCTCTTCTTCATAAATAAAAAGGTAATCGAACTTTGTCTATAACTCGCTAATAGCTCAATTGAGATATTATCTTAATATGGTGGCTGAAATTTGCTTCTTTTGCAGAAGAATTACGAATTTTGGGATGTTGGGAAGGATATAAGTGGATTGATTCTTAAGTTAGCAAGAAAGAACAATGGTTTCAACTTTCAAGTGAGAAGAAATAACAAAATTTTCAGTAGAGAAATGACTTGTTGTGTGACATTGAAGAATGATCAAACTACACAAAGCTGCTATAGGATAATGAGATTTCCACGAAAATCAACATTCAAGATTTTCGACTGCCAAGGCCAGATCATGGTAAAAGTCTGTCGTATTTAATATTACATACCAAACATGCATCGAGAATATAAATAAAACATTGACATATGTGGTGCATGCATGCTTGCATTCTTTATCGACATATTTGCAAATATAATGTACGATATAATTAAAATTCTTATAGTTCATCTGATGTATTTTGCAGGTGATGCAAAAATTATCAGCAGCAGTTCTTGTTGGGAATCTTCTTATACATGCACAACGAAATTTAAAATAATTTTCGATTCCCACCAAGAATGGCCTTTGTGTTTAGATAGAAATTGTGATAAGATTGTACCTTTTCCAAATCTGCAAACTTTTTTGCTATTCTTTTCGTTCCAACAATTTTGATCCATCATCCACAGCTGTCTAATTATCCAGCCTCCAGCGGTAATCCACACAGAGAACAAGATTGCAGCTACCAGAGTTTTCTCTCTTGTGCCAGCAAGAATAATGAAAATCATATGGACCTCAAACCCTAACAATGTATTTATATAAACCCAAACGGGCTCGGCCCTGTCCGGTCCAATATTTAGTTAATCTAATTAATTAAACCCGATCCGTGAATTAATTAATTAATTCAGGAATATAAATAACAAATCCAATTAATTAATTTATCCAACGATTGTTAAATTAATCAATTGGCAATTTACAATCTTCCAATTCTCTTTTGTGTGCGACCCATTATGTTCCCGACCATGATGCCTAACGACGTGAAATATTATTTTGATCTAATCAAAATTGATAAATTAAAACACTCTTTTAATTTATCGTCAATTCACACTCGTATCGTCAATTCACACTCGCCGTCCCTGATTGACATCTAGCAATGTGTCAGGGCAATACATGTGATGGGAAATGTCACGTGGTATGACAAAACCAAACTCGTTCGTTTACCGTGAAACTATAATCCCTTCGTCAATATGATCCGATCAATTACGAGATATGAAATTGTGTCAATCCCGAATTTCGATTATATCTTTCGCTCCACTATTAAGTCAATATAAGTCGAAAACTCATTTTCGACTTATGAGTACACCTTGGCCAAAAATTTCGTTATCGACTTAATTGAATGAAACGCAGATCATAATCTCCTACTATTTAAGAGTGACAAATCCTTTATTGATCAATCACAACCTTCGTACGATTCTTGATGTACCCGAACGATGTCATATTAGCAGCCCTTTCCAGAGCAATATCCAACACCGCCAAAGTATGACTGTCCTCATATAAGGTGCCATGACGACCTCAAGTCTAAGGACCAATTTCACTACGAATGTTAGAGGTTAACCACTGACACTCAAATAGTTATCCATGTGGAATCTCTCGGCGGGTCTCCAATGTTTTGTTCTATAACAAAACATCCACGTGTTCATTTAAGTGTCACCACACTTTCACTTGTGAGATCAGTTACTTACTTCACAAGTAAGAAATGCCACACGTGATGGTCTATCCGTAATAACAATATCCGTATCTCATTATCACTTACGACCACGAACAATTTAAGATTCAATCAGATGTAATTTGTATCTCACAATCACAGCTCCTTATGATTAACAAATTACGAAAATTTGAATCTACGGACTCTATTATTTATTTAATTGTCTATTAATTAAATAATAGATCTACCATTTAATTGCATTAATTATATATAAAAGTATTTATGTCCAAAATTGATTGAACTTAGGGCATAATACTTACAGTTCTTTGGGAGATGATGTGTTGAAAAAAAATGGGGGAATTGGTGTAGGATTTCCATTTACAACACAAACTTTTTTCCCCCCATTTGAGATATATTTTGTTCAAAAACTTCAAGAATGAATAAATAAAATATTTTCTACTCTAATTAGTTAAATGAAGTTATGGGCAATACCGCCTATTTAACTCTTCTAATATATGTAAGTTTGCGGACTAAATGTGCAATTTAACATAAAAATAAACTAGTAGATAAGATGGTAAAAGTGCAGTTCAGGATGAGGTGGCTTTAGGCATAGACATTTTAATCGAAATTGAACCGAACTATAATTAGAGGTCCAGACCGATTTCCCTAAAATAAAATTTACAAATCGAATTAAAAACAGAGGATAGATTGGGTTCGAATCGATTCGTGGTTCTTGAACCAAAATAGTGAGTACTCGTATGGAACATAATTTTTATATAATTTCTTATTTCTTATAGTTTATAGGTTGGAAGAATAAAATTGCAGAGTTTAATAACTTAAAATACAAATAAGCTATGAATGTGGGTTACAAATAAAAACCGCCCAAGCCAAACAATTAAAAATATATTTATATACAAAACCTAAAAACTCTAATTTGGACCCATAATTTGTTTAAAACTCTAAATACTCTAAACCTAAAAAAATCAAATTGCACAAATATTTAAATTTCTCCAGTTTTCTTTACTTTTAGTCTTCACAATTTTGTATCATAAATCCCGATTTCTTAGCTTCTATAATATTTCTTAGTTTAATTTTCTCACTGGCACAAATATTGTCGAGTACTAACATGTTAGATATGTGTATCAAAAGGGTTTATGTGGAAATGTGTTTTAAGCTCCTATTTGGTAGAAACTAAAAATCAAACATTAATATAAGTCAAAATTAACAACTAATTTTAATAATACATTTTATAGAACCCACCACTTTTTAATTACACAGTTCATCAATTTTTATCAAAATTTACTAAAAATCTGATTTTAATCCTCACCAAATAAGACTTAAATGTATATTGAAAAAAAATGTTATAGATAGAGCCGAACCAAAATCAGCTATTTGAATTTGAGTTTAGTTCCAATAATTATAAGAACTCGAATGGCTCCATTTACAAAATATCCAAGATATAATGGGTGATTACGAGTATTGAAATACTAATACCAATTCACCCGACACCTATTCCTAACTAGCTTATTCTTACTTTTTTTAAAAATTATCTCTAAATGTGCAAAAGAAAATTAAAAAGGAAATAATTCACTAACACCCTTAAAAAATTTACTAATTTCGTACTTTTATATCTTTTTTTTTCCCCAAAATACGGTTTTTATTTTTTATTTTTTTACAATAAAACTTGTAACACATTGGGTTACATTTTATAAAATTGTGTTACACATTTCAATGCTTTGTTTTCATCGCATCCACCACTCCCATCACCTATAACATAGTGTTACACATTTTGCCGTTCATTTATAACATCACCGGAGCTACCACCACTTGTAAAATTTAGTGTTAACACAATTGCAGTCGGCCAACCACTTACAATGTTCAATGTTATACCAGAACATTGTCAAACCATCTTCCCTGCTGCCAACACTGACCTCCACCATCAAAAATCCAAAAATCAGATCTCCACCAATCGCCACCATCACTAGTGGTTGTCAAGTCCCTACACAACTACAAAATCGAAAAATGAAAATCAAATGTGTGACAGATCTTCAACAGAATCATGAAAGAATAAAATCTGATTTTGAGGGGAAAAAAAAATAAAAAAATTAACAAATTGTGGTAGTGTACAACACAATCTGATCTGCAGCATCAACAAAGAGAAATAGTCTTGTCATTAATTTCACAATTTTTTCTAAATGATTGTACTTGAACAATGTTGAACGCATTATATATTTCTATAATCAAAACTTCATCACTCATTTTGATCACTACATTACAAGTACTATTTTTCAGGAAAAATGAATCAATACCAATGCATACGATGTACCTACACGATGAAACTATATCGTAATTTTGGATTACATTCAATAAAGAAAACAAGTAATATATGCTAAGAAGAGGAATCTTATTTCACAAATTTACAATTTTTTTTTTTTTTTTTTTCTAAATGATTGTACTTGAACAATGTTGAACGCATTATATATTTCTATAATCAAAACTTCATCACTCATTTTGATCACTACATTACAAGTACTATTTTTCAGGAAAAATGAATCAATACCAATGCATACGATGTACCTACACGATGAAACTATATCGTAATTTTGGATTACATTCAATAAAGAAAACAAGTAATATATGCTAAGAAGAGGAATTTTTTTTCACAAATTTTCAATTTTTTTTTTTTTTTTTTTTTTTAAACACTTTGAAGAAACTGTCAAATGTAAATTTAAAGTTGCACAATTCCCAGGTTAATTTAACTATATACTGGAGTGTCTATGAGCTCTTCTTTGCATTCTTAAGATTGCGTAATGTCATGACAAGCTGTTGTCGTTCGCCCTCGACCTCTGCAAATTTGAGACTTATTTCTGAATATCTCTCCTGCATTTCCTTCAGTTCACCTTCCATTGATATGTTCTTCTCTTTCAGTACAGAAATTAAACTCAATGATTCCTCAAGGTCTCGACTATTACTGGAAGGGGCTTTCAGTTCATCTGAGATAGTATGGTCATCACTGCAAAGGCAAACGCAATGAAGGTTAGACAGCGAAATATGATTTATTGTGGCACTCGCACATCCAAACATATTGAACTTATTTAGCACAGAAGACCATTTGACAAGACTTTTGCTTTGTGTAGAAGAGCTTCCTAGGAAGCCACCTTGGGTCACCTTCCCCTAGAAGCTCTTCTAACCAAACAAAGCATTTTCAGAAATTTATCCAAACATGTCCAAGAATATCTTTTAATTTTAGAAGCAGCTTTTGTCTTTTCAATAACCCTACCAAACGGGCTTTAAGTCATACCTCTTTTCAGATATTGTCAAAGAACTGTTTATACTGGATAAATTGGTCATCATGCTGGAACCACCATCAGCGTTAATCACTTCTTCAGCTACCTGCATCCCACAACGAATTATTTCCAAATTATGTTAAACAATTTGTGCAACACATCTAAAGCAAATGCAAAACACAAATTGGAAAGTTCTGAGACGACTTGACTGACAAAATATGCAGACAAAGAGAAACACTGCTGCTCTCAATGCATAAAATCTATCGGTAAAAATGTTGTATCTCAATGCAAATTGCGAATGGCAACAATAGTAACCTTTTGGATTTCGTTTTCACAAAAATTGATACTACTCTGGTTTAGAACCTCCAGTCTTCCTTGTAACTCTTCAATTTTGTCATGAAGATCGTTTTCCTTCTCTAAAAATGAATTAGTCGACCTCTCTAGAGCAGTCTCCTTTAACCTGATCTGGCCCTGTTGAATATAGAAATTGGCATCAGCTTAGGCAAATTCCAAGGCAATGTTCAAACTCACTTGTGGTAGAGGCGAAATATTCAAGTATAACACTTCTCTAGAAAGTAAAAAGGATGAAATGTTTTCAAAACAAAACTATCTGAAAATATGCCATGTTGAAAATATCGGAAATAGGAAATGACCATTACGAGGGATTTTCTCAGTATATGATAATGCTAGGAAGAAAATTTATTTCATTTTGGCATTCAAAGTAAAATCAAGGTCCAGATTTACCTCAAGCAACTTTATTTTCTCCTTCAGATTGGCGACCTCTTTGGAGCCACGAAGAGGAGACATAGATTTGTTAGCTTTAGAAGTTACTTTTGTTCCATCCAAAGTTGTTGCTCGTCCGTTGCTATCCTTTATCTTTTTCTCCATGCTACTTAATGCATCTTCCTTCTTCTTAAGATCACTTTTTAATTGAAGCATTTGCTTCCTTAATTTCTCTTTCTCCAACTCATCCTCCAATTGACAACACGTCAACTCTTTGTACTGAGCTCTAAGGGTGTTGATCTCCGACAGCAGATTCCCAACTATCGTTTCCTTCTCATTGGCTTGACATCTCATTTCATTTAATTGCTTCTGCACCTCCTCAGCTTCCTTCTTTACAGAAGCAACCTTGTTCTCCAGTTCAATTCTTTCGCTGTTCCCGTCCTCCAAAAGCAATTCCAATTCCTTCACTGATTTTCTCATTTGTTCCAGCTCTTCTGTCAAAATTTCCTTACATCCTGCCTCCTCTAAGAGGATTTTATGCTCTTTTACATATGTTTCAATCTCAGTTTTAAGCATTTGAATTTCCTCTGACAGTAGCCATTGAGTTTCTTCAGCATGCTTTTTCTGATTTTCAAGCTGCATCGTCTTGTCTTCAATTTCTAACTCCATCTTTTTTATTTGATCAATCATCGATGTCACTTGGTTGGAAAGTTGTTGCAATGTAGCTTCATACTGTTCCTTAACAGACTCGTGTTTCTCAGAAGTTTCTTGGAGCATTTCTTCCAGGCAGCTTTTCCGTATACGGAGCTCATTTGCTTCAGCCAGTGCTTTATTGGCTAATTTCTCATTTGCTTCGAAAGTAGAAGCCATCTGAACAGAAAGCCTTCTAAATTCCTCCTGAAGCCGCTCTGCTGTATTAGCATTTTGCCACCGTGTCTTTCTCAATGTTTCTTCTGCTCGTATTGCTCTCTGCTCCTGCTCAACTTTGGAAAGTGCAAGGGCTTCCAGATCAGCATCGAATGCTGCCAACCGCGTTTCGAGTTCTGCCTCTAAACTTTTGGAATGAGCTTCAAGTTCTCTTATGGTTTCTAATGAATCTGAAAATTCTTTTGATCGCTTCTTCAGTTCATTCTCAAGGTTTCCAGTATTGGCCTCAAGTTCACTTATTGTGACCAATGAATCTGAAAATGCTTTTGATTGCTTTGTCAGTTCATTCTCCAGGCTTTCAATATGCGCTTCAAGTTCACTTATTGTGACCAATGAATCTGAGAATTCCTCTGATCTCTTCTTCAGTTCATTCTCCAGACTTTCCATGTGGGCTTCAAGTTCACATGCAGAGGCATATGTGGACGAGCATTCATACTGGATCTTTAGTTGTTCCTGTAGCTGGCTTTGCTCCAGTTTGTATGACATGTCGTGATTTTCCTGCTTCATGATCTCATAATCGAGGGCAAGCTGCTCCATTTGCATCTCAAGTTCATCTTTGTCTCTCTTATATATCTCTATTTCACTATGGAGGTCAATGATCTGTTGTTCAAGAAGGTATGCTTCCTTGGCATCATTATGTTCCCTCACGAGCTCCTCCAATGCTTTTTGTTCATCATCGTCATCGTCATCGGTTTGACAGTTGGAGTTAACTTTCCGCAACTTTTCATCTGTGTCAATTGCCCCTGATATGCTGGAAAGAGCTAATATTTCCTGATTTTTCTGTTCCAACATCTCATCTAGGTCTCGCACAGCAAGAATTAGTTCCGAGTTCGATTCTTGCGTCTTCTGAAGTTGAATCTGAAGATTGGCATTAAGGTCTTTTGCATAATTTAGTTCTTGTCTGAGTTCTTCAGCAAGTGCCAGAGGATCCACTCCCTCAAAGGGCAAATTGGTTTTATTTTTTGCTTCATCTAAACTTCTCGGGAGGGCTTTAAGTTTTTCACATTCTCCCTTGAGAACATCTCTCTCTTCTTTCAAGGAAGTAATTTCTCTCGAGAGATCGTGCACCCTTTTGTTCTCTTTCACAATCTGCTTCCGAAGAGTCTGCAGTTCTAGTTCTGATATCTCTACCTGCCTGGATAAAGCAGCAAGCTCGGATTTGAGTTTCTCAATCAAAATAGCTGAAGCCTCTTGGGAGTGTTCCCGAAGAATGGTTTCTGTCGGAGTGCTTGAAGTACCATCAGTACTTAGTTCAAAGGCAGAACTCCCAAGACATTCCCACTGTGTCGTTTGATGCTCGTCATACATTGCTTTAAGTGCATCAGTTTTTGGCTGACGAGCCCCCGAGTAATGATTCAGAGACAATGGGTATCTGCTAGGCTCGTGATGGGAGTTCTTCATCAGGGGTTCCCAAGGTGTCTCAAGTCCCGAGCTGCTCTCAGAACTAGACATGGTAATATCAGATCCACTAGATGCTCCACGGTTGCCATTCATGTGGGGAACAGTCTCATTCAAAGGTACATCCTGTCAAAACCACATAGACCACATGAATTGAGTTAATGTCAACATTCTAGTAAAATCACATAAAAAGGATCAAAAAATTTTCTTTTCTTGTACAAGAGGGAGAAATGTTCCAAACGCATACAAGGAGATCAGATGTTTTATGTGCTTATAATCCACAATTTATTTAAGGACTGTGCATGAAAGGGAAGAAAATGGCTAGAAGAAATGAAAAATTACTTCAATAGAATGGTTTCTAACAGTCCCCTCCATGTCGCCATTGCTTAACTGTGCCCTCAAGCTCCTATCTTGTGAATTCAATTTTGTATCCTCACTTTCTTCAACCTCTCTGCATGGATGCCAACAAATTTTTTATCAATATCAGTTTAACAACACGAGAAGATAGGAAAAAGGAATCCTGGGGTGGGAGGCGCAACATAACGGTACAGTATCCATCACAACCTTTGATCAACAGAGTCCTGTACCCTTTGAATTGAAATCTGTTGAAATACATAATTCGAACAAGGAATCCATCAAATAATTATCCTATCATAACATATAAATTCAATGGCAAAAGAGATAGAAAGATTTACATGCAACTTAGCCTCTGATTTTGAATTCTTGAGGGGCAGAGACACATTGACCTTAGTTACCTCAGCATAAATTGAAAAATCAACCATAGCTTCTCCAACACATCCAGCTTTAGAGGTCCCCTACAAGTGCAGAACAAAAGAATTAATGAAAAACAATCCCTTGGCAGCAAAGCAAAGACTAAAAGCTCATAGGCTTAGATCATTTTATACCGTCCCCACAACAAAGTAGTATATTTTCTCATGAATCTTCCCCGATTTTGGCTCTTGATTGAGCTTCACGGTTTCATATACTGGATTATCCCATAAACAAACACCATCTCGAACTATTGCCTTCTCCGATTTTACACTCGGCTTTCCAACATCAGCAGGAACCACAGATATCATCAATGCATCCCCTCCTACCTGTGACAGCTGCATTCACAAATCACAAATAACTCATTAGTTATTTCACTCGTCAGCAAAATTGTAAAATTCCAGTGTCTTAAATGCTGTTAAATAAATAAAATACAACCATTCTAATAATTCATTTTCCTTTGGGTTCAAAAAAAACTATGTTATTGAGATTGTTAAAATTTAAAACATAATAGTCTTGATCAAGAAGCCTAATCGTGAAATCAAGACATAATCAACAATGTAAATTTGATTTAATTTTCTTCGATATAAATACATCAAAATGCATAAATACATTCCTGTGAAAGAGATGAAGGTACCTGAGTTGCATGAAACTGCAATCTGAATACAACTTTGACTTTGTTCTTCTCGCTCCTCCATCGGGCCGACTTGAACATTTTTCACTATTTTACCTCAATCCCACATTATATTTTCCTCAATCTAAACAAGAATCGCCGGAGCTCGATTCTGAACTCACCGGAGCTCCGGCTAAAACCACCGGAAAACCAACATTACACTCAAAACCCACTAAAACACCCAAATTACAAAAATCCACCTTGAATTTCAAGTTAAAAAAGCTAAGAACAGAGAGAAATGTTCAAATACGGAAGAAAATTGAACTGGGCACCGTGTCGATTCAGTTAATAATCAATGCTGAGTAGCACCGTTCAATCTTCTCGATTTTTAAAATTCTGCAAGTATGACAAGGCAGATCTGAAGAAGAGATTAATATGTTCCGTTTCTCTCTCTAAATGTATGCTGTTGGCTGTATGTATGTATGTATTTGCTCTGTTTCTTTCTCTCTCTCTATATCTTCTGTACTGTATATCAAGAGGAGCATGAGGGGGTGTGACAATTTATTGCTCACTGTTTAAATATATTATTTTGTAAGGACGTAAAAATGAGAAATTAATTAAATAATTAAAGGCAATCTTCTTAGAGTTAAATTAAGATTTGTTAATCAGATTTTAGGATTAAACTTTATCTTAAAATAATTATATGCTTAGGAGACTAACTGAAACGGAAAGTTTTAAATTCCATAAATACCCTTGGGTAATTTTGTTTGTAATGTTTTCGGTCAAAACATATAATAAATAGATGCGTTTTACGAGATGCATTCCTTGATAATTGAAATATATATTAAGTAGGTCCTATTTTAAGTTTTTTCAACAAAAAGTGAAATTATTGGCCATCGATTTGATTTGATCGATCCATAATCATGGGTAATCGAACCGAATGAGGTGAAAAAATTCGAATCGATGATATAATGAGATATGGTATTTGATTTTAATATCCTGGTTCGGGATGGGAAATGTATGATATTTACGACGTCGCCCCTACTCCAAACCGATATCCCATTAAAAAAAATTAATGGGACAATTGGATTTTTCATTATTCTTTCTATGATTTTGTCCATCTCAAAATTCTGACCAATTATCGACCTGCTAAGTCCAACTAACCTAGCACAGTAACCTTACACCCAACTACACGAGTATTAAATATATGTGAACATTGTTCGTTAAATTTGGATTTTACATTTGGGAATTGGGATATTGTTTGCATTTTCATTTGGATATTATTTACTAAATTGACTTAGTATTGTGTTTTTGTTTTCATTGACTTTTTTTTTTCATAATTTTTTTTTTTCCAATTTTGATGGTTGGACCTATAAAAATAATTTATTTTCATGATTATTAACTGTCCGAACCGAGATACGAATCGAACCAACTTATGTGGTTATGATATAGCCAAAAAAATGGTGATTTGGTGATGGCTTTGGCTGAACCAATCCCAAATCGAACCGTTGCCCACCCTAGATCCAATTTTCAACCAATGTTAATGGGATAATCATTTGTGGTACTTTTTCTTTAAGAATCGAGATATTAGCTATGAGCCGACCTCCTTTGAGATCAAAGAATGTCATTGAATTAAGTCCCGTTTGACCCTCATTACATCTCATTAAATTAAGTTAAATTTTTTTCTTTCTCCTATTTTCAACCACACAATCTTCAATAAAATAATATTACACGTAAATCAAAATTTTTTCATTATTTTAAAATCATCCATTTTTCAAAAAAATAATATTCCCACATTATAGTCAAAATTAATGAGGGCCAAACAGGGACTATAACATCTTAAGCAATGTACATGAAGACGAGCTTGTTATCAATCGAACATTATGATTCTAACACGCGCCATGGCCTTAATCGTCGTTTTTTGTTTATACGTACTCATGTAGTACCCGTGTGTCAAAATTGTGAATGAATGAATTTCTATTAGAAAGGATCCAAAGAAATTGATGAAATGGTTGGCGTCCATTCCAAATAGTGAATACTACCCTCATCCATTTCTTCAACAAACAAAGTCCAATCAATTTGTCAAATCGAAAAATACCTGTGGATGTGCTTTATACTTCCTCAAATTCAGCCTTGATTGGCATAAAAGCTCTTTTATGATCATCAATGAGAAAGGTGCAAAAGCTTAAAATATAGAGAAATAGTAATATGTATGATAGAAGCGACTGAATCAAACGCGAAATATTATATTTTATCGTGCGGGTTAGATTTAGTGCAAATATATCGTAAGTGTACTTGTAACATTTATGTACCAAAATAATTTACATATGCACTTAGAGCATAAAATGAGTCAACCCAATTTAAACAACATCATGGGGCAGCGTTGATTCTAGCGTGTTAGACTTGCGACTTTTTATTTTGTTTATTTTATTTTTCATTTTTGAGAAGGAATTTGTGAGCTTGTGTTGCCGATTTTATATCCCTTAAGTGCACAGATCATAACAAGTAGTAAAGTTGACATTTTGAATTCAAATTATCATTTCCACGAGAATTATACTTTAATACTCAATTTATTATTTCTAACTTTTATTTGATGAAAATAAACAAAAACAATGATTGTTTGTGATTTTTAATCTCACTATTTAGAAGGTTGTGGATGCAACAAAGAATGATTGAGAATTCAAATAATAAACGGATATTATTGCGGAACAATTTTGCATATTAATCACCTGTAAGTCTTAAATCAAGATTCATAAACTCTAAGGTAGTATTTGGTCAAAAATTTCTATTGTATTCAATTTATCCCTCTCAAATTCTCATTAAACCTATTTAACTACTTCAATTCCATAACTCTGCGAATCAAATTTAGTTAAACGAAATAATAGATCTAAAAATTCATTTGCGATTTTATCAATTAATATAGGTATCTTTACTCGTTTTATTAATTTACCGAATTTTAATATGTGTCTAAACAAAGAATCAACATCTCTAAATAATTATTGTTCGTAAAATCATTGAATAGCTAATCAGAAAATTCAAAGCATTGAGAATATGGTTAAAATTTACACATATAATCATAATAAACAAGAATCTCAAATAAAAGAAATAAAGGGTCCAAAATATGTTACATTGTTTGCCTTAAAAATAGATTTAGCTACTCATAGTAATTAAAGAAAAACAAGAAGTTATTATGGATGATATCACTGAGTTTTGAATAAGAAACCAATCTTGTATCAAGATTTTCTTCCTCTTCCAATTTATGCTTCAAAATTTGGATTG